TCATTTGACCGTCATCACTTCTGAACCTCTCTTAATGGAAAGGGAAACGCTAAAGGAATCTCAATGCTTTTGTGTTAACTGGCAGTTACTCGAGGCAGTGATTTAAGCAGTGCTTTATATGACAACAGTGTAATATTGTTGTAGTTACGTGCTTGTTTGTGGTGTTGTATGCCTAATATGATTTACCCAAGTACGACATTCTAGCATCAACATCCCTATTTACCCTGGAACAATATTGCTATCAAACAATCACATTTTAAATTTGCAATGAAGTAGAAGTAGCAACACATCTTCTGTACATCTGAGTAAAACAGATGATTGAATACTGAAGTGAGTTGACTCTTTTGAATGAATCATCGGAATGATTTGTTCACATATTGAGCTAACTGGGTTATTATTAAGTTCAACTCACTGACTCAATTATCCACTTGCAGCTTTTAACATTTCACAGGAGGGGAAGATGAATGAAATGTGACTTAAAAATGTGATTTTTTTGTTTAGCAAGACTGCTGACAAAAGCATCGCCACTTTATGGCACTTCAGCTGTGCACTCCATTAACGGGCACTTCAGTAGATTGCAGTATATTCAAATACAGACTTTCATTATGGTGTCCAGAACACATGAGTCCATTAGCTCCTGCAGGGAAAGACAAATGACTAAATTAATCGCTCAGATGTTTAATTGTTGCTGTTAACCGCAATGCAAAGTAGTTGGCTGATCAATGCCCATCAGCGCATATAATACGGTCATTTATATGCATATAGCGAGTGGAACTCTTGGTCAATGCTGGGGATTTCATTTCTGTATGTATTATCAGCGACAGAATGTCTAGGATAAGAGGACAATGAACTCTGTAGCCTATATGAAAGAGAATGCAATTCTGTCAGGCTAATGTAATAGTTCTGTAATTCAGTTTGAGATCAGGGAGGAAGATGTTCATGCCAGTTTCATTACATTTCAGCTCTGAGATTGAATAACAAAGATTAAAATCACAACCACTCAAAAAAGATACAAGAATATTACTCTCAGCCTCAGATATGCCACCACAGTCCATTCAATGACCATCTGATGAATAAGGAAAATAACAAGCTATAACTGACTTTATGCAACTCCTGGAAGTAAACACACACCATTTCTGTCAATAAACTTGGAAATTAAAGGGGTCATATGATGCGATTTCAATTTTTCCTTTCTCTTTGGAGTGTTACAAGCTCCTGGTGCATAAAGAAGATCTGTAAAGTTGCAAAGACTAAAGTCTCAAATCCAAAGAGATATTCTTTATAAAAGTTAAGAGTTAACCACACCTACCTAAAACGGCTCGTTCTAACACGCCCCCAACATATCTACGTCACTATGTGGGAAGATTTGCATAACACCGCCCAAATGTTCACGCAAAGAAAGAAGGCGTAACTTTTATTCTCGCTGTAGTTTTGTTGCTGCCGCCATGTCGTGAAGACGCTGTGTGCTGCGTTGTGAAAGCGAAACTACATTGTTTGGTCTTCCAAAAGAGGACGATATCCGCTTCGTCATGCCTAGAGCTGATCTGTGCTGGTCGCTGAGGAAATACATCAACTTAGTGCTGCTCATCGCCGGATCGGCTTTCACCGTGGACGAAGCGGAGTCCAGCCCGCGGTCGTTACATGTGGTTGCTGCAGGCATCACAATATGGTAAGGGATGTAACATTTCCGTCACACGCTTGAGGAATTCGGCCAATCACAACGCACTGGATAGCTGGC